TTCACCATATTCTGGGTAAGTCATTGTGCTGAAGGGGTTAAATCATCATATTTAAGCGCTTAATTCATCGTACGCAAGGGGTTAAGTCATCATATTCAAGGGGTTAAATCATCGTACTCAAGGGATTAAGTCATCGTATTCAAGGGGCTAAATCATCATACATACAGATATCATAATATATATACTTCTTTAGGACATATCATTATAATTCATCATATCTCACAAACTAATGGAACAATGGCGATGAAATTTAACACACACTGAGGACAAGAAGGCAAGAGGAAGGTAACACAATTTGGTTACAGTTAGATACAGGTTAAAGTTTAGATGATGGTTTGTCCTTCCCTACAGCAAGGTATATAATCGGGTGTGGTTAATGGCTGGTTGACTCTTTTGCAAACGTAGGGATGACTGATAGGGAATGACGTGTGCTGTTTGATTGGACTTACAGGGTTAGCAAGTTTTGTACAGGTGTGGTGAATTATACAGGTGTGGTGAGTTATACAGGTGTGGTGAGTTATACAGATGTGGTGAGTTATACAGGTGTGGTGAGTTATACAGGTGTGGTGTTGTGAATTATGCAGGTGTGGTGTGGTGAATTATACAGGTGTGGTGTGGTGAATTATACAGGTGAGGTGTGGTGAATTATACAGGTGAGGTGTGGTGAATTATACATGTGAGGCAGGTATGGTGGCGCACACTCATTTATAAACAATGAAAGATAAAAAACATCTAATAAAAACCGAATTAATAATAATAATAATAATAATAATAATAATAATGATGATGATGATGATGATGATTATGATGATGATCATGGTTGTAAACGCCTTAGTTAAGGACGTTCAGGTGACGGGCAAGTCGAAGGGAATGATTGAAACTCGCCTTTTGACGAATTCAATATTTATTGATGTGGTCAAAACCTGCAGACAACAAGGCGTTCATTAGTGTTACATGGTGATCTATCTGATCATAATTAATTAGTCTCACCATCTTAATTATAATTGATTATTGAGCATAGTGACATGATACAAAGTTCATGACTCTATTAATCTTAGCTACACTTCATTCCGCGTCGTCTTATTGCTCCAGATAAGGCAGGAACGAGTGGGCATAATTAGTCCTCAATATTTCAGTACTGAGGGGTATGTCATCACTTTGTCTGTACTTACAAGTGCGGGTCAATGCGAACCAGTATGGTGTTCGGGAAGATAGTTCTGTGTGAATTGTTCCAGTACAAAACTCGGCCAGGATTGGGAGTTGTTGTTCACCACTGCTAGCAGAGTGTTGATCACAGCATCACTTGAGGGGCAGTGTCCAGGTGGCCACGCCGCCTTTTAAACCATACATTAGCAGAGTCAGCTATCTTCTCCGTAAACACCGCCCACCCACTAATCTTGGGTAAGGCAGCAAAAACGACAACACTGACACTAGTGGTGATGACACTCCCGGTGGTAAACACCCCAATCACCACATCTGGTGTGGTAACAGGCCACGTGTGTGGGGAGGCACGTGGTTGCTGATATCAATGATAAAAGTCAGCGGCGATAACAATGATGATATACTTCTAAGCACTATAGAATAATAACAGGGAACATTACAGTGTGCGTGTAAATAACTGTACATAATTAGTGTATTAATGACGCCATGACCACCACACAGACACACACACACACAGCAACTGGAAGCGAGTATACAGGATCATCCAAAAAAGAATGCCCCAGATTTTAATAAATAACCTTATCAAACCCGGGTATTCTTTTTGGATGACCCTGTAATTTCGTGACTAAGGTGAAGTTATGACGTCAGTACTGGTTGGACACAATGAGTTTTATCACGCCACGAAAGCTGCGTTAGTGAGGAGGAACCCATCATGGCACTATAATAACAGGATAGCTTTATATCTCTCAGTGAATTAATAAGGTGTTTCGTTCCTGGTGACTAACCTAACCTAACCTAAACTAGCTTTTAATATTGAATAAATGGGTCAGTGTCTGTTTTAAACCCAACTTAGGATTACAGAATATCAGCCCAACTTGGGACAACAGAAATTATCCCTTATTAAAAAAAATTTGCCAGAGGAAGAAGGACCTTGAGTTAATTAAAGCTGCAACCAAAGCTAAGAGTGTAGACGAGCACACACACACACACACACACACACACACACACACACACACACACACACACACACACACACACACACACACAGGTGTTCCCCAGGTGGTCATGAGTGAGGTGCAACACATGTTAAGTATGACTCACCATTTTCACCTGTGTTGTGTTGATGGTGTTATGTCGACCCGTCACTTCCTACCTCACCTCACCCCACCCCACCCCACCCCCACCCCACCCCACCCCACCCCACCCCACCCCCACCCCACTTTTCCTCACTCCCACCCCACCCCTTCCCACCCCATCCACCCTCACCCCACCCCACTCCCACCCTTCTCACCTCACCCCCACCTTTCCCCACCCCACCCCACCCACTCTTCATCTAACCCAAGTTGGAGGAGGATGAGAGAATGACGGAGTAGAGGAATAAAACGGATAATGGAAACAGCGAGACAGATAGACAGATAGACAGACAGACAGACAGACGGACAGACAGACAGACAGAGAAAGTTTCATTAACCACTTTGCAGTTTTGTAAGGGCGTTTATATTATGAGAGAGAGAGAGAGAGAGAGAGAGAGAGAGAGAGAGAGAGAGAGAGAGGACTCCTCAGCGTGGGGAATAATATGATGGAGTCTGCGAGGTGGCGTGTTGAGGGCCAGTCGACGAGGCATAATCCCAGTGAGATGGTAAATGATAGAACCTGGTGAGAAGGAGGAGGAGAGAAAGGAACGCTTGAGAATGGAAGAGGAAGAGAGAGAGAGAGAAACATGCTTGAGAATGTAGGAGAGAGAGAGAGAGAGAGAGAGAGAGAGAGAAATGTTGAAAATGAAAAAAAGGGAGATAGAGAGAAAAGAGGAAGAAACGCTTGAGAATAGAAGAAAGAGGAAGGAATGCTTGAGAATGGTAGAGAGGAGGAGGAGGAACATATAACAACAAGAGAGAAGACTAACAATATATCGAGGAAGATTTGGATGAACAACAAGTGTCACAGTTGCTACGTCATGTAAACAAAGAATCACCTGACGAGATGAATATAATTAACACAGGTGGTACAAACACTTCATAAACCACGTGTCAGGTTAACAAACACCAGCTGACGGGACACATCACATCAACACAGGTGGTACAAACACTTCATAAACCACGTGTCAGGTTAACAAACACCAGCTGACGAGACACATCACATCAACACAGGTGGTACAAACACTTCATAAACCACGTGTCAGGTTAACAAACACCAGCTGACGGGACACATCACATCAACACAGGTGGTACAAACACTTCATAAACCACGTGTCAGGTTAACAAACACCAGCTGACGAGACACATCACATCAACACAGGTGGTACAAACACTTCATAAACCACGTGTCAGGTTAACAAACACCAGCTGACGAGACACATCACATCAACACAGGTGGTACAAACACTTCATAAACCACGTGTCAGGTTAACAAACACTAGCTGACGAGACACATCACATCAACACAGGTGGTACAAACACTTCATAAACCACGTGTCAGGTTAACAAACACCAGCTGACGGGACATCACATCAACACAGGTGGTACAAACACTTCATAAACCACGTGTCAGGTTAACAAACACCAGCTGACGAGACACATCACATCAACACAGGTGGAAACACTTCATAAACCACGTGTCAGGTTAACAAACACCAGCTGACGAGACACATCACATCAACACAGGCGTGTCAGGTTAATAACACACCCAGCTGACGAGACACATCACATCAACACAGGTGGTACAAACACTTCATAAACCACGTGTCAGGTTAACAAACACTAGCTGACGAGACACATCACATCAACACAGGTGGTACAAACACTTCATAAACCACGTGTCAGGGTTAACAAACACCAGCTGACGGGGACACATCACATCAACACAGGTGGTACAAACACTTCATAAACCACGTGTCATGTTAACAAACACTAGCTGACGAGACACATCACATCAACACAGGTGGTACAAACACTTCATAAACCACGTGTCAGGTTAACAAACACTAGCTGACGAGACACATCACATCAACACAGGTGGTACAAACACTTCATAAACCACGTGTCAGGTTAACAAACACTAGCTGACGAGACACATCACATCAACACAGGTGGTACAAACACTTCATAAACCACGTGTCAGGTTAACAAACACTAGCTGACGAGACACATCACATCAACACAGGTGGTACAAACACTTCATAAACCACGTGTCAGGTTAACAAACACCAGCTGACGAGACACATCACATCAACACAGGTGGTACAAACACTTCATAAACCACGTGTCAGGTTAACAAACACCAGCTGACGGGACACATCACATCAACACAGGTGGTACAAACACTTCATAAACCACGTGTCATGTTAACAAACACCAGCTGACGGGACACATCACATCAACACAAACTGACTTTAATTTCTATTATCATGAGAGAGAGAGACAGGGAGAAATAATTACACGGTTCTTTGAGTAATTGACACAGGAGTGAGGGGAACATACAGTTAAATTACTAAGGTGATTTAGAGGGAAGGGAAGAGGTAGGTGTGTTAATTAAATGTGTGGTCTCATCTCACCTGTTCTCACCTAGGGCCAGGTACACTCATCTAGGACCATGGACACTTACCTAGAGCCAGGGACACTTACCTAGAGCCAGGGACACTTACCTTAGCCCGGGATCACTCACCTGGGACACTCAACTAAGTGGTTCACCTCTTCCCTCCCTCTCCACTGAACAGAGGGTAACCTTCCAAGACTGAGGGTGTCAGGTATTTCCTATGATATGAGAGAGTTAATTTGTCACCTACTCACCTGGGTGTTGGAGAGCATCACCTTCACCTGTGTTATACTACAGAGGATCACTCACCTGGGTCCCACAGGCCGAGTAACTTGCGACGGATGAAGGAGATCGTGGTGTGTGATGAGGCCAGCAGGAGGCACGTTAACCCCCTCCTTGGCCACTTATTTCTGGGCCACCTATTTCAGGGCCACCTCCTTCTGGGCCACCTCCTTCTGGGCCAACCCTTTTTTGGCCACCTCTTCCCTGAGCAACCTCCTCCTGTCTCAACTTTCCAAACGGTCCTCCTGTTCGTGTGGGATTCCTTTAATCACAGAAGGATGACCTCACCCACTCCTCCCCGGGCGTGAAGGACCACATCAGGGGAGTTGAGGACCACCTTAACACTCGACTGATGCACCGCCCTCAGGTCAAACAGTTCACTCTGACTCAACTTTCAGTCTTTGTGAGGCGCCAGACGTTCACTTATCACACACTTCAGCAATAGAGTTCACTTCATCCCACAACTTCAGGCGGGGAGTTCAATTTTGTATACTTTTACTGTGTATATCCCAGTATACTGTATATATCCCAGTATACTGTATATATCCCAGTATACTGTATATATATTAATATACTCCGTTACACTGCCACATCACCTCCGTCGATTTTCTTCACTCTCAACCCATGTCTTGAGCCTTTCCGAGGAGTGAGTGAGTGAGTGAGTGAGTGTGAGTGTGAGTGTGAGTGAGTGAGTGTGAGTGTGAGTGAGTGTGTGAGTGAGTGAGTGAGTGAGTGTGAGTGAGTGTGAGTGAGTGAGTGAGGGAGGGAAAACATTCGCCTGAGATTTACGACGCAATCTGACGTCATTATCACCCACACGACTATAACACTATATTGCCTCAAGACTATAGTAGAATAGATATAGATAGATAGATAGATAATGATAGAATAGGTATAGATAATAGATAGATAGAGATAATTATATAGATAGGAGATAAAAGATAAAGACTTAGCCGACTGGACTTCATAACCTAACCTAACTTAACCACCACTTCTAGCCATGCCACTCACTACGTCAATTAATTATAAATAGATTTATTCCCTATCTACAACCACAACAACAACCACTACCACAACAACAACCACTACCACAACAACAACCATCACTACAACCGCTACCATCTGCCGTCACCACCACTACCACCACATGCGTCACTACCACCACTTGCTATCTTAAAAAATACATAAAATTATAATTGATCGATATAATTATAACTTATGCATTTAGAAACACGAGAAAAATAATTACCGACACTTAAATTAAATTACAAAAGCGTTAATTGGAATTTTTAAAACTATCGACGTTAGATATAAAATTGTGTTAAAAACAAACATTTATTTAATAACAATAAAAAAATAAGAAACTAATTATTTTTTTTAAAACACCTCTTGTATATGATAATAAAAATTCAACTCACATAAATATTAAGCCATGATAATTTTAGATTTTTATATAGAAACGTCAGTTAAATAGAGACACGGCAAAAGACACTACGTGCCAAAAGTCATCCCATGTGCGCCAATAGTCATCCCTTTACTAGCCAAGACACACCTTTACGGGCCAAAAGATCAAAGTTAGCGCCAAAAACATTATATAGTCAGGTCGAGAAGAAAACACGTCAACACTCTTGTTTATATAGCAAGTTCAGACGCCATATATAAAGTGCCATTGTTCACGACACCACACCTTTCCACACTTTATAAAAGAAACATGGAGAGGCAACACAGCCTAGAAATAAATAAAAGAGTATTATATTTACCTCGGGTTCTCTGCCACCAACGTAAATAAATTCGGGCAGAGAGAACCGGCACAACACAAAGAGGGCGCCGGTTACGGATAAATGAATAGTGCGTGATTTTTTCTTATTTGGTTTTAAACTTGTTAAATAGAATTATAGCGAGGAATTGATGAATACAGTTAATTAGCAATTTATTCGGGGAGCTTTTAAAATCGAAGCTTAGGATAATTATATAGAGAATGCAGAATAACGGCTAATGATCTAATTTCAGAATATTTTTTTTTTGATAAGGCAGTAAATAAACCAAATTAATAACTGAAATATTCCTCATATGCATTTTAAAGATGAATTCCGACAACAGCACACAAAAACTTAGAATTATTAAAGTTACTGAGAATAAAGTTAAAAATAATCAGGAAAAATGACCGCAGTTGTTGACATCCCCCCCTCCCTCCCTCAGTGACTATGACATTAAATTATTTACAAAGGATGACACGATCCAAGCTCACATGATGTAACTGACTTAACTCAACCTAATGATCTGAGGTTATTTCTTGATTCATATTATATCAGGTGGGTCAAGTTAGTTTGGTTCGTGTCATCTCATAAATAATTTGATGTAGTCTGGGAGATGGGAGGGAAAATATATACAAAGTCGTCAAATTCCTCCGAAATTCAACTTAACCTAACTTTATTTGTTTCATTATCTTACTTCCCGCTCCGGTAAATAATCTCGAGAATATATATGGGATATTTCAGTCCGAATTTTGTTTCATTATTGCAACATATTAGAAATATTCTGGGAAGAGATTTCAGTGTTGTTTTTTTAATGTATTATTAAGGCGGCAACACTATACTGTACCTTTTCCGAATAAACTATTCAACACCATATTAGTTCGTCGGAATATTTAAGATTTGTGTATTATTATTAAAAAAAAAAGTGTTGAGTCAAACCCTTCTCATGTGCGTCCTGGCCGGGACACGAACCCAAGACATAATAGTGATAAATACGCACCTTTCTCAGGTGCTTAGCTCTCCCTAGCATGTCCTGGGTTCTAGTCCTAGCCGGACACACGTGAGAGGGTGCTTGCGTACCTCTCATAACTGCCGTGTTAGTGAATCCGTGACCAGTCAGCACACAAGTTGGAATCTAAACAACATGTGGCGTGAGAGATACGAATTATTATTTTTCTCTTTTCGCGCCGTGTATGTTTTGACTACGGCTCGTCACTCTCGTTGGTCTACGAATCATCCAATCAGACATTGTCGTTCCACCAGTGAATACCTGACAATAGAGCCCACCTGAGTAACCGCCAAATCCTAAAGGCGCGAGAACTCTCAGTATAAACATTTCGCTTAAGATGCCTGAAGAACATACCATTAAAATAACAGCATCAGTATATTATGCACTCCACTCTGTCAGCTCGTAACATAAAGAGGACGATGCGGAGTTCAGCAGCCCATAACCAAGAAATGGGATAGTAATTTCAAGTTATACTCCGCCCTAAACATGGAGTAAAGAGGGAAATATGTGGAAGAAACGTCAGGTTAATCATCACACTTAAATATGGAGGAGGAACTGGGTATAAAAGTGTGCACATATATCTAACAACAACACTTAACTACATACCACTTTGCCAGATACTAAATAATAAACACTAATATAAGAGCGGAGGGCAGAGCAACCAACAGTATCCCCCCAAAACCGCGGGAACTTGAAAGGCGAAATTCCCGCCAAAACACGTCCCAGAAACGCGGGCATAAAAACGGTGCATAAAAATAAAACGCAGCGGTATTAAATGCACCACTCCACTTTACCAGACACACGTAAAAAGGAGAGAGAGGTGGTGGTGGGGGAGGAAGGGAACGGTAGCCTAAAACGTAGAGAGCACAGCACACATGAACCTGGAAGGAGAGTCGGGAGGTATAGATCTGTGTGTGAGTGGACGATGGCAGAGACCCCCCTCACACGTTACGCACTGCGGAAAACTACATCTTACTCTCCCCACTACGTGCCTTAACTAACACACACTAAAGTATTCAAAGGCATTTCATATTTATAATGAATCAGTAGAAAACGGTGTCTGCAGACAAAATTGAGCATATTTTTCGTGGTGCGTTCTTTCCGCCATAATAACTATTCATAACGAGGATACAGAAATTCGTGGTTATTCTTTTGTTAACTAATATATATAATACACACCTGTGGCCTTCACGTGTTGACATATATATAATACACACCTGTGGCCTTCACGTGTTGTCATATATATAATACACACCTGTGGCCTTCACGTGTTGACGTATATATAATACACACCTGTGGCCTTCACGTGTTGACGTATATATAATACACACCTGTGGCCTTCACGTGTTGACGTATATATAATACACACCTGTGACCTAACCGTGTTGTCATATATATATTGCACACCTGTGGCCTTAGGTCGTGATTGACACCTGGTATTTCCGGAGAATATTGGTCCATACCTGGGAGTTATTTTTGTGTCCACGGCCCAATAGCACTTAAACCCTGTCACAACCGTCTACTGTCACAACCGTCTACTGTCACAACCGTCTACTGTCACAACCGTCTACTGTCACAACCGTTTACTGTCACAACCGTTTACTGTCACAACCGTTTACTGTCACAACCGTCTACTGTCACAACCGTCGACTGTCACAACCGTCTACTGTCACAACCGTCTTCTGTCACAACCGTTTACTGTCACAACCGTTTACTGTCACAACCGTCTACTGTCACAACCGTCTTCTGTCACAACTGTTTATTGTTACAACTGTTTACTGTTACAACCGTCTACTGTCACAACTGTCTTCTGTTACAACCGTCTACTGTCACATCCGTCTACTGTCACAACTGTTTACTGTTACAACCGTCTACTGTCACAACTGTCTCTTCTGTCATATCTGTCTCTTGGTTTTATCTATCACATATCACACTTGTCAATTGCCACATTTGCGACATCTGTTTGGGGTCTGTCCTGAGTTTTATCTGTCCACTATTACAACTGTACCATTATCACACCTGTTCTGTCTTCCCACCTGTTTAACAATCACATTTGCATCACAATCACACCTTCATCACCGCAAGTGTAACACCTGTACCACCATAACACCTGAACCACCTCAACTGCATCAGCGTAACACCTGTACCAACCTCACAGCTGCACCGTAACACCTGTGTCACCATCACTAACTTGCCTCATTACACTGGTTCACTCCTCGTATAATACCACCAACACACCTGCACACCTTACGCAACACCATAATATCACTCAGTCCTCAGCCGTAATTAATTTCTGCACCACCACCACCACCACCACCACCACCATCATCATCATCATCATCATCATCTTCGTGTAACAGGAGCTCCTGCCACCTAAGGACGCCCTTGAACTCAAGAGAAACTCAAGAAGGGGAACTTGTTAATACATACATGACTACGGCAGCCTAGCACGCCGCAGGGGATGCCAGACGTCCCCATAGCTCAGTAATTCACCAGGTACCGTACACCGCGTTTTACACTCTTAAGCGGTTTTAGTGTATGTTAACTGTATTTCTCGTGCCTGGGTTATCAATCTTTCACAATTATGTACTTCCTTCACAATGCCATTGTCACAGTTGATGTGGAACTCGGAAATAATCTTACGTGCACAAAACGGGAGAATTTTTCGTATTTTAAGTCAAGTAATGCTTTGATTTCAAGACGCAATTCATACTGACAGTCAAGTACGACACCAACTACGTCGACCTTTTTGTTTCCAGTTTCCACCAGTAGAGGAAAAAATCACTCACGGGAACAGATTTGCGGTGGAAAGTTCCCTGGAATCCGCATGTAAACTGCCGCCAAACAGCCACAGCGCCACTGTTGATCCGCGGCGGGAGAGACAACTAGCCTAGGGGCCCACAGCGCCAGCCCCGCACCGTCACCTACCCGCATGTGACACACCCACCTACCTCCTGCTGGGCCAAAAATACCTGCCTCACCCGTGTTCACCCGGTGTTATCCGTGCCGTGAGGCTGTGATAAGGTGTGTGTTGGGGAGTTGTGAGGAACACGGTGTGCAGGCGCAGGAGTATTCCACCGATCAATAAAACCATGGCCTCCTGTGGCCACTCCCTCAAGGACGCCTCACGCTACCCGCTGCTTGCCCGGATGTACAGTACACAAACAGACAAACGGAATTTTCCGAAACCATTTGGGTAAAATTCTAGTTTCCTACTCATTAATGGACAACTTCCTTTATATGAAACTTGAGGGGAAATTTCAGGGTTTCCTACTTGTGGGGAAATTCAGAATAGTACGGCCTCAAGGCGTATAATCATGAAATATAAACCTCTACATTCTTGTTCCATTGGTCATGATACGTGATGGCAGGAATGTTTTTATCCACACATTCTTGTCACTGGACAAATTTGCTCCAGTTAATAATTCATTTAATAGAAAATTTATGAACACTTAAAATAGGTTAACAGTATGACGATTCTAGATGGTTCGGCAGCTTGATTAATTGTGTGCGTGTGTTGTTCCTGTGTACGTGTGTACATCTGAATAAATGTTTGCTTCACGGTGTGATAAATGTGAGTGTGTGTACGAGTAGATGTATGATGTGTACACAACCAGACGCGGTGTAGCAGGTAAACATACATGGGTCAACATAACGTACACAACAATCTCCCTTCAATAAACTATTAAGTTAAGTCAGCCGAAGACAAAGTTTTCGAGGTAACATATTACTGTATAAATAAATCGACTTAAAGCCCTGACAGGAGGAAGTGTAATGATGCTGATGTTATTATGTATTACTGAGCTTCAACAACTATTGGTTATGTATTACTGAGCTTCAACAACTATTGGTTATGTATTACTGAGCTTCAACAACTATTGGTTATGTATTACTGAGCTTCAACAACTATTGGTTATGTATTACTGAGCTTCAACAACTATTGGTTATGTATTACTGAGCTTCAACAACTATTGGTTATGTATTACTGAGCTTCAACAACTATTGGTTATGTATTACTGAGCTTCAACAACTATTGGTTATAAGAACATAAGAACATAAGAATGGAGGAAACTGCAGCGGGCCTATTGGCCCATACTGGGCAGTCCCGTTTACACCCAACCCCTATTGCTCATATAAGCATCCAACCTATGTTTGAAGCTATTCAGCGTATTCGAGTTAATGATGATATTTGGTAACTTGTTCCATTCATCCACTACTCTGTTTCCAAACCAGTGTTTACCTATTTCCCGCCTAAATCTAAATTTGTCTAATTTAAAACCATTGTTACGAGTTCGCTCCTGGTTGGATAGTTTGAGTACCTTTGTAATGTCCCCTTTGTTTAGCCCTGCCTTCCACTTATACACCTCTATCAAGTCGCCCCTCGCTCTACGTCTCTCGAGGGAGTGCAAATTAAGATGCTTTAACCTGTCTCTATACTCAAGGTTCCTAATGCCCGGGATTAGTCTTGTCATTCTCCTCTGAATTCTTTCCAAGGATTCTATATCCATTCTGTAATACGGTGACCAGAACTGAACTGCGTAATCCAGGTGTGGTCTCACAAGAGCAAGATACAGTTTTAGGATGACCTCGCTAGTCTTGTAACTAACACTCCTTTGTATGAACCCAAGTACTTTATTAGCCTTGTTACGAACAAAAACACATTGTTTACTTGGCTTAAGGTTAATACTTATCATTACTCCTAAATCTCTCTCGCAGTCGGATTTCTCTATGGCATCATTGTTCATCTGGTATCTTGTTTCCCTGTTTACATCTCCTATACTGAGTACTTTACATTTGTCTACATTGAATTTCATCTGCCATTTTTCAGACCATTCGAAAAATTTGTTTAGATCTTCCTGTAGTTTGCTGAGTCCTCGTCGGATTTAATAACACGTCCTATTTTAGTATCATCAGTAAATTTACTTATGTTGCTGTCTATGCCGATATCTATGTCGTTTATGTATATAATAAATAATAATGGTCCAAGTACTGAGCCTTGGGGAACTCCACCTGTGACGTTGCTCCAATGGGACTTAGTGCCGTTAATGCTCACTCTGTTTCCTGTCCTGTAACCACGCCCTAATCCATTTAAGGATGTTACCTTTGATGCCATGAGCTTCTACCTTTCTAATTAGTCTTTCGTGGGGGACTCTGTCGAAGGCTTTGCTAAAGTCGAGATATACCACATCATAATTGTGCCCCTTGTCCACCTATTCGAAAACTGATGAAAAGAATGTTAATAGATTAGTTAGACAAGAACGTCCGCTTGTGGAGCCATGCTGGGAATCATTGATCAATCTGTGCTTCTCCAGGTGATTTCGAAAAGAGTTTGAAATGAGTGCTTCCAGTAATTTGCCTACTATTGATGTTAGACTGATTGGGCGGTAGTTAGAGGATAGTGATCTATCCCCCTTCTTGAAAATCGGTATTACATTCGCTATCCTCCAGGATTCTGGTACTACACCTGTTTTTAAGGACATGTTAAACAACTTTGCTAAGGGCATACTAAGCTCTTCCTTACATTCCTTTAATACTCTCTGGCAAATATCTCATCGGGACTAGGTGACTTATTAGGCTTTAGTTTGTCTATTTGCTTAATAACATCGTTACTTGTCACTACTATCTCGCTTAATTTGTTTTCTTCACTATCTCTGAATAGAGTCGGTGCCTCGGGTATCATGTTTAAATTTTCGGTGGTGAAAACTGTTGAAAAATATTTATTCAAATTATTGCTCATTTCTCTGTCGTTATCAGTGAGCTCGCCGGTGTCTGACCGTATTGGTCCAATCTTTTCTCGTGTTTTAGTTTGTACATTTGGTAGAATCCTTTGGGGTTTGTCTTCGCCTCCCTTGCTATCCTTACCTCATTATTCCTCTTTGCTTTCCTTATCTCGGTTTTAACCCTACTCGCCAATACCCTATAATAGTCCCGGAGGTGAATTTCGCCACGATTTATCCTTCTACCTATAGCCTTCCTTTGGTCAATGATGTTCTTTAAATAATTATTTATCCATTTAGGGTCATTGTTGTCTGATCTGAGTTTTTTGTATGGTATGTTCTGCCTTTTGTGCATTAAGTAACTCACTATTTAAATTGTCGTGGAACTCGGCAATCTCAGATCTCGTTATCAGGTGTGTCATCTGTCAGGTTCACGGCCAAGCGCGACACCCCCTCTCTCAGCTGCCTCTTTAAACTGTCAAAGTTCGCCCTTCTGAAATCTGGTACTTTAGTGGAATTTTCCTTACGTCTGCCCTGAAAATCTAACTGGAATCTAATTTCTTTGTGATCGCTGTTTGCAAGTTCGTTCCCTACCTCGACACTGCTAATGAGGTTTTCTCTGTTTGACAGAACTAAATCGAGTATATTATTACCCCGTGTGGGTTCGGTTATATGTTGACTTAGAAAACAGTCCTGGATCGTCTCGAGAAAATCCTCTGATTCTGAGTTACCTGTAAGGTCGGTCCAATCTATTTGGCCAAGGTTAAAGTCGCCTACTATACAGACTTTGTTGTGTATGGAAGCCCTGGGCATTTCATCCCAGATAAGTCGCTCATTGACTCTATCAAGGTATTACTGAGCTTCAACAACTATTGGTTATGTATTACTGAGCTTCAACAACTATTGGTTATGTATTACTGAGCTTCAACAACTATTGGTTATGTATTACTGAGCTTCAACAACTATTGGTTATGTATTACTGAGCTTCAACAACTATTGGTTATGTATTACTGAGCTTCAACAACTATTGGTTATGTATTACTGAGCTTCAACAACTATTGGTTATGTATTACTGAGCTTCAACAACTATTGGTTATGTATTACTGAGCTTCAACAACTATTGGTTATGTATTATTGAGCTTCAACAACTATTGGTTATTTATTACTGAGCTTCAACAACTATTGGTTATGTATTACTGAACTTCAGCAACTATTGGTTATGTATTACTGAGCTTCAACAACTATTGGTTATGTATTACTGAGCTTCAACAACTATTGGTTATGTATTACTGAGCTTCAACAACTATTGGTTATGTATTACTGAGCTTCAACAACTATTGGTTATGTATTACTGAGCTTCAACAACTATTGGTTATGTATTACTGAGCTTCAACAACTATTGGTTATGTATTACTGAGCTTCAACAACTATTGGTTATAAGAACATAAGAACATAAGAATGGAGGAAACTGCAGCGGGCCTATTGGCCCATACTGGGCAGTCCCGTTTACACCCAACCCCTATTGCTCATATAAGCATCCAACCTATGTTTGAAGCTATTCAGCGTATTCGAGTTAATGATGATATTTGGTAACTTGTTCCATTCATCCACTACTCTGTTTCCAAACCAGTGTTTACCGATTTCACGCCTAAATCTAAATTTGTCTAATTTAAAACTATTGTTACGAGTTCGCTCCTCGTTGGATAGTTTGAGTACCTTTGTAATGTCCCCTTTGTTTAGCCCTGCCTTCCACTTATACACCTCTATCAAGTCGCCCCTCGCTCTACGTCTCTCGAGGGAGTGCAAATTAAGATGCTTTAACCTGTCTTTATACTCAAGGTTCCTAATGCCCGGGATTAGTCTTGTCATTCTCCTCTGAATTCTTTCCAAGGATTCTATATCCATTCTGTAATACGGTGACCAGAACTGAACTGCGTAATCCAGGTGTGGTCTCACAAGAGCAAGATACAGTTTTAGGATGACCTCGCTAATCTTGTAACTAACACTCCTTTGTATGAACCCAAGTACTTTATTAGCCTTGTTACGAACAAAAACACATTGTTTACTTGGCTTAAGGTTCCTACTTATCATTACTCCTAAATCTCTCTCGCAGTCGGATTTCTCTATGGCATCATTGTTCATCTGGTATCTGGTTTCCCTGTTTATATCTCCTATACTGAGTACTTTACATTTGTCCACATTGAATTTCATCTGCCATTTTTCAG